GCTCGAGTTCTTTTTCCAAAGACGAGAAATTCAACAACCACTATGATCTGGTGCTACTCCACTTTTGTTTACATTTTTGTGAAGAAGAAAGTTGTGTTCAGTGTTTCCTTCATTAGTTCTTGGTACCGCGCTACCAAAAGTTAGTGGCTGTAGCATGACAAAATGTGAAAAAGTTCAAGGGTTTTAGATACTCTCAAAAGTCACTAGAAATTGTTGTGTTTGTAAAACTGTGAAAGACAAATCTCAGCGTGTTTATCTGTTTCTAATTGCAGATCGTTATGGTCTGAAGGAGCCCAAACGCGTGGAGGATTTTCAGAACCAGCTCATCAGCTGCCTTAAAAACCACATGTCTGGCTGTGGCTCCGACTCCTGGCCGCCCAATTACTTGTCCCGACTTCTAGGGAAGCTGCCTGACCTCAGGACTTTGAGCACCCAAGGCCGTCAGCGTATATTCTACCTGAAACTGTCAGATCTTGTTCCCCAACCTCCGATTGTGGAAAAGATCTTCATGGACACGCTACTGTTTTAAAATGTTTTTGGGGAAAAAAAGACATTTTCAGCTTGTTCACACTCTCCAGGTGAAACGAAGAGGCGTTACAGTTTGGTGCTACTTCTTAGTGCTTGTAGGATCTGCATCCAGTACAATATGGGTATGATGGTTTTAGAAAGCTGCAGATTGAAGGTGGAATTACAAAGGTCCATTCAGACCAAACGGTGACTGTTTGCATCCATGAATGGAGTCTCTTCTGAATGAGACAACAATGGCAAACGTGCCCAGTCATCTGTAATGTGAGCACAAACATTCTCTATGCAGCAGAAGATCTGAAACTTGGAAATAGTTACTCAACTTCTGTTTAAACATTCATATTATTTTACAAAACCAACTTGTGACCCAGACAGACTTCATAATTCTCAACATTTGAAAAAGAAGTCTGTTAAAGCTCCATTACACTTTATATTTAATGCCACCACAATGTTTTGGTGATATTTTTTGTAGCTGAAGTTTACAGAACTATTCAGTGGTATCATTCATGCATCATGAATCAGCATTGAGCAGCTAATATACTGTGTATTTTTTTAAAAATAGTCTTATACTGCTTTTCTTTGTGTTTTTGGATCTGTATTCAACATGCAGCTGTTTTGACATATAAATAATGTCCCAGTGTACAGAGAGATTTTGTTGTGGGTTTTTTTTTACTTGTAACTGTGAAACTTCATTGCTAAAATTGAAATAAATGCAAAATATCATATATTACATGAAATTGTCATCTTCACTATGTATCATAAAGTTTTTGCATGTGACAAAGCAGATCGTCGAATTGTATTCACAGCTTGTAAACTTGGATCAAGTACAGATTCCGCTTTTAGCTCCCAGAGGACGACCTCAACGCACCCCCACCCAGTTATGTACTGGTCTCCTTTTAGAAAGCAATGGACGGACCTCTATGTCTTGTCTCAAATAACCCAGACTGCTCCATCTTTACGTTGCGCAATTATTTAATAGGAAAACGTGTGACACCACAAAAAGGCACACCTCTCAGTGATTGTAGTGGGAAGGTCCTTGAAGGAAACGATGACTCTTTAAAACAGTGAAACAGGAAGAGTTAGATCATCAGTGATTAGCAGTAATGAGCCAAGCTAGTCAGATTGGAGCAAAGAAGGAAAATAAAACAGAGGACATGGAGTACAGCTTAAAGAGGGGGTGAGGCATTATGCAAAATCAGGTGGTTTTTGTTTAGCTTTTTATAATGTTATTCCATTATTGAAAACATACCTGGGAGTTGTTTTTTTATGCCTAGCTAAGGAATCTTTGAATAGGTATTCACACAAATACCTCACACATTGTTGGTAACGCTATTAGAAGGGATGTTGTTTACCAGAAGTGTTAGTCAGTAAATAATGACACTTTTGATGCAAAGTGGACTTTTAATGAAGACTTTAATGAAACTTTGCTTTAAAAGAGTCATTATTTACCAAATGACTTCAAAAGTCATAAACATTCATGAAGACACAATGTTCACAACAGATGGAATGTTTATGACAGCGTAAAGTGAATCTTATGCACTTCACTTTAAGTAAAGTGCGGGATTGTGTAGTTTGAATAAAATGTTTCCATTATCGTTTTGCGAAATACAAAAATTTTGAAAAACCACTGCATCCTACCCAAAAAAACTAAACATTTCTCTTTTTTTTTTATATCTGGTGTATTTCCATTAAGTTCTACTAGAGAAATTCACTTCAAAGCGAGAAAGCCCTTTAGGCCAGATGTTGGAAACCAGTCCTGGATACCCATTCCAATCTACAGTGAAACAGCCGCATTTCCAATTATCTTAAAATTTTGCAGTTAAATTTGCTTAACTTTGAAAAAGGAAAAATACGTTTTTGCGCTAGTGAGAGGGGGGTTTGCGGCTCTAAATTAGTGTATTTCAATGGAAACACTTTTCACATCACATGAGTGACGTGATAATCAACTGGATGTTACAACTGACAACAGGAAGTGGTAGGTGGATGATCTTTTGAATGATTTATTGCAAGAACAAAATTATTCATGTGACTAACTTTATTTCTTATTGAATGGAAATACAGCAATTGCATTTTTTTATATATTTATTTTTACATTAGTGGAATACCAACAAAGTCTCACACATTTGTAACGGAAACGCAGCAAATGTATCTTAAACCAATGTTCTGTAATGCACTAATCTCAAGGTTTTTCCAGGCTAAAGTCTCCCAAATCCAGATTGGTGCAGTAATGCAATATAAAAAGTGGATGCTTTCATAACCTTGCAACCATGTAGAGCTTATGCAACAAGAGAAACTGGATAGTAAGCATCACCATGATTACACAGCCTCCCTGTGTGATGGTACACTGGTAAAGATAGCGCGGACAGCAGCTCCCTCGTGATCGAGCCAGCAGCACCATGGCTCTGCTGTAACTCTGTAAAGTGAGAGCAACGTGAACGTGCCGCGTTAGGAATGCAGACAATAATAGAAGATCACAAGCTTTGGGCAGACTCATAAGACAAGACATGGCCAAGAACATTTCTGTTCCTCAGATGAAAAGAACTGACCGAGTGTCAATTCACAAAGTGAGGTCGCTGGAGAGATATGCATTTCAAAAACATGCCTGGAAGGCTCCTGTAAAGGCCAAGTGACAGGTTTCACAGCCAAGTCGACCCAGCAGTGTGATTTGAACAGGGTGGACCGATTCATTTCATCCAGAGGTGAGGCCGGTGGCTCAGTCAAATCACTATGTCAAAATGACCCCAATTCTTGAACAGTACAACATGAATGTGTAAGCACAAACTCTGACCTGATTCAAATGTGTGCCAGCATCTGTTGTGCACTGCACAGTGGTGCAGTTAGCAGTGCTTTTGCCTTCCAAAAAAGATTCTGGTTCAGATCTCTCTCTGCATGGAGTTTCCTAATGCATACCTATGTTCTCTCCAGGTCCACAGTCCAAAAACATGACTCAGAGCTAACAATTTTGAGTTATAATGTAAATTTAAAGCAAAAGTTACATTGGGATTTCTTGGTTGAATCTGTCTTTCAGCAGGCTGTTAATCTGAGGCAGGATATAAAAGACTTTTAGATTTCAGATTGTTTGAATAAATAAGGATTTGACTTTAGATTTTCAACCAAAGGGAGATAAATCAATAATGCTTCATTACTCCTCATTGATGTCAGAGAACACTTTGCATCAGGATCGAGACAGGAAATACAGTACAATGAACTCTGAACACTAAAAAAACAAAATGAGTCCTATGAAAGGACAGCTGGTATAAGTGGGCTAGTAGGGATAAGCCCTCTCTGACATTTACAATAAAACAGCTTACAAGTAACTACCTAAAACCAAATACATTTTATATATATCAAACCCTTCAAATATCACCACCAGCCACCACTGGTCCTATGTGTACTGATCTCTTATCTCAACACTTCTGTTTATAAGTACAACTAAAACAGCCATAAAACCTGTAGCTTTACAACTACAGGTTTATTCACTACAGGCGCCATCTAGCGGCCAGGCTCCCAAATTTGGATTTTCTCTAAAGTGAAATATTTTGTTAATCCTGCAATATTTTTAAATTCTGTAGATCAGCTTTCATTTTCCTGTTTTACCCATTTATTTTTATCATTCAAATCAATTGTTTTTGTGAACACCATACAGCAGTTCAGTTTGTGTCAAACATTTTTTTAACCAATTTAAAGCAGCATTTTTCCTCATGAAAAGCTACACAATGTACACAATAAAAACATGACCTTTCCCAATATATAAACTTTCTTAAATTTAATTTTTCCCCTTGAGGTTACAACAGTACAATCCTTCCAACACTACGCTGAAACAAGGCTAGAATTTATATTAAACAAAAATGAAAAGTGACTGGTTTCTGCCTATAGTTACCTTCATTTTTAGTTTAAGCAACGGAAGCAGACTAAAGTGTCAAATCATGCTTACTCATTAACATGCAAAACTACTTAACGACAAGAAAGTGATGAACTTTTAAATACATGACATATATGTTTCCGTCAATAAAGACACTTCAGCACCAACTTCAAATGCTCAGAAATTTATTCAATTATCAGTGGGAAAGGAAAAAAAAGTCTTGATTGCTGAGCCTATACTGCAATCCTAAAATAAACCTGAGTCTAAAATCTCAAACTAGTCCCATCTTAACCCATGATGGGGGGTAAACTGCTGCTTAAATTACCATCTTCAAACAATCATGAACTACTTTGTTCCAGACAAGATTATGGGAACTTCTACAAAAAGAGTTTACATGCAGTGTGACCTTCTTTAGCACTTACAAAAAAAGAGATAGCATATTTAAAGATAACTAAACTACACAATTCTTCAACAAAGGAAACTTTTACTCCAAAAATCTAACACAGCAATGTCACAACATTAAAAACAGTAAGAACTGCTCAACTACAGGTTATATTTGTTGTAAAACATCCTCTGCACTTAGTGACTAAATGAGAACCATGCAACTGCAAGCCATGAGAGGTTTCAGATACTTTATCCACATTCAAACTGATCAAAACAAGCAAAGAACACTCCATGTATAGAAATAGCTTTGGAAGAGCTTACAGCTCGTAATTGGGCCACGGCAGCGTACTGGGAGCTCTGAAGTTTGGACCAAGGTTGTTACTGGGTCTGGCAGCCAGTCTGCAAAAAGAATAAAAAAAAAAATAAAAGTCAATATGAAGGAATATATGCACAGAAAATGCTGAGGTCAAGACCACCACTTACATTTGGTTCAACTTGGAGCTTACTCCCCACACAAATGGAGTTTGAACATTATCTGCCTCTGCAACACAAGACAATTTGCTACCATTATATACGAGTGTAAAAATGTATCCAGAGGATTATAAAATGCATAACATGGGAGAAGCTTCATCTAAACAACCCTTTCCCAAACTGTGGTCTCCAGACCACAGACGCCCCCTAGTGGTATGCAAAGTACTTTGAGCTCAAAATGTGTTGCATACAATTAGCTTCCCAAAGTTTTGCATTAAAAAAATAAATATAAAAATTTACTTAAGAAAAAATCTGAAGATGCCAGTGGAAAGAAAATTGCAGGATTCCTCAAATGATCAGTGGAAGCCAAGTTATAACTGCTGAGTGTCTTGATATCATCTATGAGCGATTAGATTAGAAGGGGATTTCTGTTTTTGCCAGAGCAACTCAAATTTATCCTGCTTCTAAGTTACAAATGACCTTAAAATTTTACTAATGCACAATACTTACAATATGTAAACAACTTTTTTGATTTCTAAGTGTTTGACATCATTGGAAATCCACCGAATCCACCGTCTCAGAATCTGTAAGTAACTCAAAATAGCCTGAGCAATATGTTCATGGTTTTGTTGTGGACAGTCACATTTAAAGCAGCACCCATCCATCCATTATAATGCACACTTAACCATAAGTGGGGTCATGAGAGGTACTGGTGCCCATCTCCAGCGGTCAACAGGCGAGCTACACCATGACCAGGCTGTCAGTTCATTGCAGGGTAACAGAGACAAACAATCATGCACACCCACACCTAAGGAGGATTTAGAGAAATAAATTAACCCAACAATCACATTTTTGGACTGTGGGAAGAGTACCCGGAGAAAACCCACACATGTACAGGGAGAACATGCAAACTCCTTGCAGAAAGACGGTCTTGCTTCAAGGCAACATTGTTACCAACTGCACTACTGGTCAGCCCCAAAATATCACCACCTTTCACATCAAGTCAGATAAAAGTAATATTTTAATTCTAGGTTTTATATTAAGATGTTATTTCAAGTTAGGTGGTTTGTGAATGGGGTAAACAGTCATATATTTCCTCCACATTTAGTGTGATCTCTTCTAAACCTTTATATTTTAACCTACCCTTGTCCCAGTCCTCAGTCATGTTTGGGTTGACCCAAGTGTTGACTGGAACATCCCAGCCAACATGTCCATTTCTGCTTCCAACTGTTAAACAAAAGACATGTACATTACACCATTTAAAAGAAAACAAACCGTAACTGCTCTGTTAGGTGGATAGAAAATAAAATCATCTCACCATCTTCAGTGTCCACAGATATTCTGTCCTCACAAGTCTCTGTGTGGTGAGCAAGCTCATGCTTGGGAACCAAGTGGCGAGCATTAAACGGGCAGGTTTTCAATTCACTGGCCAGTTTTGGGTGATTCTGTGTCGAGAGATTTCTTAATTTACCAATCAATTGAAGCAGGACAGTCATTTAACTTACCCACTTCTATAATCCAAGAAGGAATTTTCTTAAGATACCAGAAGTGGGGAGGATTTTTGAGTTTGCTGAATTAGTAATACAAGCAGGTGATCACATGTTCACTGCAAGTAACCTTTACAATCATTCACCTTTTATCAGTACTACAACCCACAGGAAAATCACCAGTACTTCCATTATTAACATTACGCCTTAAAAACATTACTTCAAGTGTGGATTTAAGCCAGCTGCTAGCAGTATTTTAAACAATTGCAGTTATATTCTGCTGCAGGCTAACCCGTTCATGCTCAACTCCATCATTGACTGGTCTGGGTGTGAATCTATGGGAAACAGTTGCAAGTTAAGTTTCTAAGCAAATTCAAAAATACTTTATTGATCCCAAAAGGGGAAGTTAAAGTATTGACACCATATAATCCCAACACTGTGATATTTGTATGTATATACCTAGATGCTAGGAAGGGATTACAGAAGAAAGTCAGCTCCGAAACTACTAAAAGCAATGTTTTGCACTTTTCCTGCAACTGTATTCACAGAGTGCCCAATAATACAGTCTACGACATGACAAACTAATCAAATAAAAAAAAAAATTTTTAAGGTCAGAAATGGTATGAAGGAACAACTTTTATGAAATAATCCTCAATGGTGCCAATATACCAATGAGGAACAAATGTAATTTGGTATAGTAAATTCACTGAATTCAACTCAAATTCATTCATCTGGCAAATCTAAAATATACTACTATTTTATCTCTGGTAGAAAACAATTTTAAACCCATCAAACACTACTAAGGCGTTTCTATGAGTGCGGATTTTTCCCAGTCCTTTACCAACTCACCTTTCTGCACTTAATCAGGTGATAAGGAAAGCGGCAGGAGCGGATTTGGTGGTTTTTGTCAAAAGGACACTGTAGAAGTTTGTCTGGATCACAGTTTCCCCTGCTATCTAAAGTGGAGTGAATGGAAAATGGAGTCAGATGGAAAACTGGCAGATTTGGCAGATTACAAGTAATTACAAAACTCAAGCTTTACCATAATCTTCAACCTCTGTTACCCTCTCTTCAGAGGCCACCTTGCATGGACTGGTACTGGTTCCGAACTTTATGGAGGCCATATGGAAAACTAATTTACTTTGGTCAGACCAACCTGGGAGGAAATAAAATACTATTAGCATAAAATGTAAAGCGCCAACGTAGATTTCAACTAAAAACAGACGCAATTTCCCCAAATATTCTGTTTTACTCGGCCAACTGCAATGCAAGATTCGCCGAGATACAAAAGGCGACGTATACCCAAAGTTTCATTTAATTTCTATCCCTCAAGCTCAACAAATCACAAATTAATTTCTAATACGTACAAATTCAACAACACTCAGGACGAAAAAAAAAAAGAAAAAGTTGGCTCGTGGCCAAATTTGCTAACATTAAGCTAGCTAGCTTCGACTGTAACAGCCCTAGCTTATTCTTTATTATTTAGCAAATAAACGAAGTTAAATCAAATTTATCTCGTTTATATCAAACTATATTAAGCTAAATAAGTTTTTAAAAAAAGTTGTAACTTAACCACACAAACGGAACCCTTCAGACCGCTGAAGAAGATAGTCTTCGCCTTTCTCTCAAACGAAGACTAACTGACAGCGCGTGACCTCCTCTGGCTTTATAGGGTCTGTTACTCACGTGACTACCGGCCTGGCGCGAGCAACAAGCGAGTGAATTTAAGCTAAAATTCACTCACTAAATCCAATTTTTAAAATTTCTGAAATATATACAAAGGCCGGTACAACTTTAAACAAACAATTATGTTTAAAGACCGGTTCGTTTGCAATATTTCAAAAAATGCCGCGTTCCATTCAGCTCGGAAATCGGAACTTTAGACCGTTTAAATGTCAACAGCGTCTAAAGAACGTTAAAACGGGCTTAACATTTGGGAAATTTAAATGCTGTAATTTGCATTTAAATCGTCTAGTCTTCAAAAATCGTTGTAGATGGAGATGCTGTGGGCAGAAAGAATCTTGGTAGCAGTTAATCTTCCAACGAATCTGGGAGTCCTCTGACTGAAGACTGTTGCTGCTGTGTGACAATATGAAGACTATCATGACATAACAGCTCATTTTCTATAGAGCATCGGACGATATTCAACAAAAACATGTCATGGATGTTAGTTACACAACTAATTATCTCATTTGCTATTGCCACACCTCTTTATCTCTGTCTGGCCATAAAGTTTAGAAAGCCAGGGACAGAAACAATAACGAATGGGACCAATTAAATTGTTTAACTTTTATATTTTTATTTCAACAATGAGTTAAAAATTAAGGTATTGTAGCTTCAGTCATATATAAATAGGATTCCAGTTTTCATCTGCTAAATAAGGAGTCTGAAAAGTGAAGCTGCAAGTGGCTGTCTGGCTCACGTCATATAATAAACGATGAAATATCACCATGTATTTCTGATTAATTTTTTAGTTCTCCGCCACACCATTCAGCCGCCACTGTCCCAGTGAAAATTCTAAGAAAATAATTTATCATTTTTATTTTAAGCAGTCATACATATGATCTAACAACTAAACATACAGGGTTAATAAAGCTCAAAAATCCACCTCACATTCAGCGAAAACGTAAAATAATCTGCGTTTCGTTTTCTGTGTATTACGGTAAAAGATCAACTCTCAGCTTTCCTGTATATTAGCGTCGTCACGGTAACTGCTCTGCCTGTCGAACATGGCGCTTTCCTGCTCGAGTCTGTGCAGCCGGTTGTCTTTGACCCGACTAAGTGGTCTGAGCACAAACAGGATAACACATTGTTTTTATCTTCGAGACGTATCCTGCCAGTCCAGGTCCGTCTTTCCAGGGTGAATCTTTGCCTGTTTTCACCTTGTTTTATCATGGTTTGCTAAGCTAGCTACACACCTGCTAAATAACCAGACGTTATGTACATTTAAATTTCAGTGCAGACAGTTGATATCCTGCTGATTATCTAAATCTGCTGCCTTTTATCGGAGATGTTGTACATGTTCCTTGTCATTATGTTGTGCTCTTGTACGTCTAGCTCATTTTGATAGGACTTTAATGTATTTTTAATGCATGTGATGTAACGTTATGCTTTTTTACGCCAGGTTACCTTTGTGCAGGCATTTTACTTCTTCTAAAGTCAGACGAGGCATTGGACGATTTGTTTCCTCCAAATTCCAGTGGGCAAATGCCAAATATGAAGGCTTTCTCAAAAGACGATTTCCTCGATTCTTCCTGCTTTATCACACCTTTAAGGAAGGTAAGAGCAAAATTTACTCACCTGCAGCATTTTTGCTGTTTACTCTCAGTGTTTAGAGCTCTACATCTTGTTCTGAAAGTTATAATCGTTTTAGTAAACGATTATGCCAGTATCTAGTTTTCTGAACAAATATAGGTAGAATAAACTGTAGCCCCTAAATAAAATCCAGTGCAACCAATTCCCTTTATAAAGGTTTGTTCATTAATAACCAAATGGCATCACAAAAGCTACTAACACACCAGACAGATCAGTGATAAAGGTATGTAAAAGCAGGGTTATATTATAAAACATCTGACACAGCACTGACAATTACAAACCTACAAATGTATGGTTGTCCACCTAAACCAGGGGTGCCCAAAGTCAGCCCTCGAGGGCCGACATCCTGCATGTTTTAGTTCTGTCCCTGGTTTAACGCACCTGGATCAAATGGTGGCTCGTTAGAAGGCCGAAGAAGAACACTGACAAAGTTGTTACTACCACCAGGGAGAGAACTAAAAATTGCAGGATGCTGGCCCTCCAGGACTGACTTTGGGCACCCCTGACCTAAACTGAAGACAGGAGAGCAACGTTTCAATATGAGAGCAACGTTTCAATATGTCCTGAATACTGAAAAGTATTACAGCTACTAGCTGATGCCCTCCAGCACCCTGAACAAGACTGAGATGGATTCGTTCCTCACCGCAGCTGTCTATCCTGACTCTGCTTTTAAAAGAAATGGTGATCTAGAAATAGTGTTTGGCTATTTGTGTTATCTAGTTACACTGGAAGTCTGACACCTAAACAAGAGTAAAGCCAAAATCTGTGCGTATAATGAAAGAAAACCGGCTTATAGACCAACTACAGTGTGTAACATTATAAATAACACACGAGTGACGTTTTCCTTTTGCTCTCCTTGAATTCCTCTGTCTTTATAAACGTTTCTTTGAATCTTGTTCAAGGATTCAGGATGCTGTTCCAGGATGCCAGAGAGGTGAAGAGGATTAAAAAGAAAATGCTGGTAAAAGGAGTAAAATTACAGGATTTACCGTACAGAGAGATGGAAAAACTCAGACAGGTCAGTGTCTTGAAGAAGCGCTATTCATGTGACAATGTCTCCCCCTGGTGACAGCAGCCTTTCATTGTCTATGGTGCACTGAGAAAATGCCTTGGATCAATACTTTTTGACATTTTTACTTTTCCATAAAGTAAAAAGTTGAAAAGTTACTTGCAAGTTTGTTTTGTCTTACTCCAAGTGTGCTAATAGAAAGTTGCAATAGAAACTAGACCAGAACTACTTGTGATTTTGCTGAGCTTGAGTTTTTCTCATTTTATTGATTTCTCTGTGATCTTGTTGCATTGTAATGTGATCTATGCTTCTCAGTTTCGCAGAGACCTAATAAAGGTCATCCCACTTGTGATTATCACCATTCCTCCTTTTGCAAACTACCTGATTATCTTCCTAATGTGAGTTTCATGTTTGCATGTTTGTTTATTTTTTAATTTTATATTCAGCACAACATTTTAAAGATTAGTATTTGTGCCTTATTATGCCACTGTAGTCGCTAACACCAATGTCTCCGTGTGGCTTTCAGGTACTTTTTCCCTCGTCAGCTGCTGATCCCTCACTTCTGGACTTCCCGGCAGCAGCTGGAGTTTCGGAAAGTGTATCATTCCCACAGGACTCAGCACCACCAACCGGTTCTCAAAGAGCTGGAGGATGTGAGCCATCAGGTCAAAAACGGTCACCTGCAAGGTCTTCTGAAGAACCTCTGCACTAAGGCAAGGACATGCATCAGAAATTAGGGCTGCAGATAATGATTATTTTAGTTACTGATTATGGTGACGATTAATCAAATTTTAATAAATTGGTACTTTCTGCTGGTTTTTATGTGATGGAAATGAATTAAAACAAACTACTCAGTTCCTTTTTAAATAAGAAAATAAAAATTTTATTGTCAAAAATACAATAATTTAATTCCTTTAGTAGATGCTTGATCATTTCTAGTAAAGGATGCATCTGCAACTAAAATAATATTTTAAACATCAACATGTGAAAACCTCAGGCCTTTCTGCTAGACTTAACATCAGGAAACCTTAGGGTTATTATTATTATTCACCAATCAATAACAATAACAAAAGATGCTTAATAGGAAATTTAATGTTTTGGGGGGGTTTTAAGCCCATCTTTCTTAAAAACTAGATCAAACTTGTTAAAGTGTCCAGAGATTTCTGGCAGAGGTTGCATCTGTTCAGCTTTAACAAGATTACTTTCTGTTTGCATCCAGGTGCAACGCGGCGGAAACCCGAATGTCTCTGAAATCCTGGCCGTCAGGAGTCTGTTCTCCAAAGCTCCTCTGGCCATGAACACAATGCGCAACAGTCAGATGGTGAGTGAAACCTTCTTCTCTTTCACCCCCTCTCTGCTGCATCTGTTTGAGCTCATCTGTGTTCATGGCTGATCAGAGACACATCAGCCCCCTCCTCTTCCTGACGACCCGTCTCCCGGGCTTCCTGATTGGTCGACGGCTGAACAGCCACGCCGTGGAGCTGTTCCAGCTGGACCGAGCCCTGAGCCGAATGGGCCCTCACCAGCTCAGCGAGTGGGAACTCAAACAGGTTTGTCACTATGTGGGTTTTATTTCCCCAAGCTGAAGCGGTTTCTCAGGCTGATGTAAGACTTTCCTGTTGCAGGCTTGTTATGTGAGAGGGATGAACGCTGACAGTCTCGATACCAGTCAGTCTCGTGAGTGGCTGTCCCAGTGGCTTCAGGTGTCCACTGCTTTAAAAGGTACTTGGATTTAAGAAGCTTTGTTTTGTACTTCACTGAATATACAAGTCTGGAAAAAACATTTAAAACAATTTAAATGATCATTTACTCAGATTTTTACTCTTTATAGGTATAGGTTTGAGTAAAATGAACATTGGTATTTTATTCTATGAATTACTGACAACAGGTTTCTGAAATTCCAAGCAAAAATGTAGTATTTATTTGCAGAAAATGAGAAATGATCAAAATAACCAAAGAAATGCAGGGCTTTCAAACCTCAAATAACTCCAAGAAAACAAGTTCATATTCGTTTAGAAACAACAATGCTAATGTTTTAACTCAGGAAGAGTTCAGAAATCAATATTTGGTGTAAAAACAAAAAAGTGCTTTCAGCTAAGTAAGGTTCAAATTTTTTTATTGAATGATACATTTGTAGATTATTGTAAACAAGATCATGTTAAGTAGATGATATCTGATTAAATGGGTTGACCAATGTAAAATAATGTGTACTTTTACTTTTAGCCACATAAATTTTATATCTTCTTCAGTCAGTAGAGGTAGACACCATCATTGTGATGCTCCTTTAACAGAAACTCAATAAAAACACAAGTCCAAAATTAATTTTCTGTTACTGATAGACTACTACTTCACAGCTTTTTTATTTTTTTTAATATTTCCAAATTTTAAATTTAAAGGAATGTGTCTTTACCCTAAAGTTATACATTTCTATCTTTGTCTTTTTTTTTAATTTGCAGAGTCAGAGCTGTCACTTCTGTTGCACTGTATGGTGCTCATGTCTGCAAACTACCCCAGCGCTGTGAGCCGTCACTGACAGGAAGCCTGCTTCTATGACTATAGTCACTTTTGTGTTGCAATGCATAAAAGAGTGTCAACATCTTCTTACTGCAAAGGAAAAAAAAAAAATAGAACATTTCCTGGCGAGATTAGGTTCAAAAGAAAAACCAGCGCCAGACACTGATGCTAATTTGCTTGATGACAATTTTATATAGAAACATGAAGTCAAAGTGTCTTTATCAGAGACAACAGGTGTTTCTGTTTGCAATTCTGATCCTTGGTGGGGAAGTTTAATTTCCCGTGGAGCGCTTTTCTGCTGTGCCATGCAAAAGTATTCACACTCTTTAATTTTTCTGTGTTTCTTCACTTTAAAGCCACAATTTCATGTAATAGACCAACACAAAATGGGACAGACAGTCTTTCTTTCTTAAAAAAAAATCTTTCAAGATCAAACGACATTGGGACTTTAACTAGGTCATGTTGTTGGGTCATTATCTGACTGGTCAAAACGATCCCCACAGCATGTCGCTGCCATCATGTTTCATCCTATTCTTGGTGTGTTCATAATATTTTGCATGTCATGGTTAGGGCTCTTGCTTGAACTGGACTTTATTTAGGGGAATTAGAGTGAAAAGGCTAAAAACATGTATGCCAGATTATTAAAAGGACATTATCATTTTACTCCCTCTTCATAATTCTGCACGGCTTTGTGCTGGTATATCATTCAGTGCAAAAAGGTTCAAGGGGAGTGAATACTTTTTCAAATGCTTGTACAAAAACTTGAGGTAAAATGTTTATTGTTCCTGTTTTTCGGGTCATTACTGCTTTAACACATGCTTTGCTTCTGCTTTTGTCTGAATTTGTACTTAAAGTCGGACAAAATGCAATGTGGGGAAACAAAGATAATTCTACTTGACAAAAAAAATAATTAAATGAAAAATTCAGATTTAACTCGGTAGTAATATAAGTGTAAGGAGAACTTTACTCAGAATTCATGGATGTGTTATCAAACATGCTGTATTACCTCATTTTATGCTTTATTTTTTATTTTCCAACTTTTTGGTTCCGACAAAGTTGCTCAAAAGATTGAAATTAGCTTTTATTTTTAGATAAAAGACAGAAATTGGGGGATGAAGCCCAGGTGTCGACTGTCAAGTTGTGATTGCACTTTACTGTTTACTTTTTGTACCCATCATTTTGTTCATGTAGAGATTTAAATTCATGTGTTTTAGCACAAAGTTTCATGCAATCTTTTCAAATACACAGAACTGAAAGTAAAAATATAGTACAACATAACTGGAGTTGTAAAGTTCATCATTATACTTTAAGTTTTGGCACTCAGCATCTGGAACATTAATCTTTTTGTAATATATACTCTTTACTCAAGTGTTGAATGAGGTGTTTTTGTGCCAATATTACATTATGCTCTTTTTTTTTTTGCAATAAATATCTTGATGCTGATTTAATTTCTTAATTGTCTTTATTGAAAACTCATGCAATTTCAGGAGACTTTATTACAAATGAAACCATTCCATAAAAACTTAACTTAAAAATACTCCAAAGAATCAACCATATGCTTTAAAAACCTCAGACTTTCTCTTAACCCCAAGACAATCATCAACTTTCCTCTGAATGTTTATTATTCTCTATGTATTTACAGTATAAAAGCAGAAATAATGACCCAACATGAAACTAAAAACCCCAATTTTGCTATAAAGGAGAAACTTAAAATCCTGTAAATAAAATGGTAACTTTAACATGAATATTAACTGTTTTGAAATGAAGCTCCTAATAAGTAGGGCATGACCACCCAGCATTTATTTGTATGCCAATCACATGACTTCATAGCCGCCGCGGATGCCTCTCATCAACAAGCAAGCAAACACGATGCCCAGAAGCTGAAAGAAATAAATGTATAAATTAATATGAACATAAAAACCCACATGATGCTACATTTAAAATATAACATTTCAGACATACATATGTCTGGGAGTAAGAGGGTAAAATAAAAAGCATGCTTACAACTAAAAACACAAGAATGCTGATTAGACTAAATTAGCCCTTTTGTTTTCTTAAGAGATGTAGAATAAGTATAAAACCTGATTGGCAGGTCACACACATCTTTTTTCCCCTTCAAATGATCAAACTCATCAAAACTAAGAACTAGGGATGCAAGATATTAGATTTTTGGTCAATATCCAATATGCCAATATATTAAAACTCATTTGGCCGATAACTGATACCAATACCAATATTGGTATCTTTGTCAATTTAGCCAAATGCAAAAAGGAGGCTGGAAATGATGCAACACTTTCAACTTGTCATGAATAAATCTGACATTAAACATGAATAAATCTGACATTAAACATATTACATCTGGTCTCTCAGACAATGACGAAGCTGCAGCAGAGCAAACTTTAAGTGCTCTGCTGCAGGCATCAGTGCCACCGGTTTGTCTTATGAAGCATCCTATGAGTTATTTTGACAGAATGGCCGATATGAAATCTTAAAGCTAACATCGGCTGATACCAAAATTATGCAGATAATATCATGCACCCTAAGAAGAACTCCCATCCTCTTTGATGTATGAGGACACAAACTATACGTTTGTTTCCCCTCTATGATTTGCCTTTAATAAAATTTAGATACAAATTTGGGATGTATATTATCATAGTCTTGTAATTTCTTCCTTTTTCTTTTTATTTCTTAATTACTGCCTCAATAGGAGCATGTTTCTCTCTTTTACATAATCTTAAGAATAAAAAATATTGGTCAAAGAAACGTTGACAGGTGAATCGTCTGATGATGTGCTTTGATTTACCTGGAGGACAGCGACAATGATAGCTGCAACTATCACCCACTGAGCGTCTCTCTTTAGGAACGTCACCATGACGTCACGGCAACCCTAAAATACAAAACAAAAAGTGAGCAGACATTAACTTGCTGGCATGTGATCTGTGAGAGGGAATTAAATATTTGGCTCCTGATCAAATTGCAAAAATTCCTAACATAGTTTATCCATGATGGGCTGCTTCCTAACTTAGTTGTATTGTGGCTTACGAATGTTGATTGTGTCGTGTTTGCACTAAAGAGGAAAAGAATATAAAACACAATAAAAAAAACTGTGCATAGTTTCCTTTACACTTTATAATTACTTGCTAGTTTGTATTGGTCTGTCACATTGACAATATATAGTTCTCAAAAGTCTGAGCCGGAACTGATCCTCGCCACTGAACCGCCATTTTGGTAGGCAAGCGCAGCACAAAGCATAGATGAACCATGGCTGCAAGATCAACGAAAAGACTATATGGAAAAAATTTACTGATATTGTTTATAAGTTGGATAGGAACAAAGCAAGAAAACGTTCTAAGTCTGTTTATTGTTGTTAAGCACCTCCACAGCAACTGTAATGACAGTTTGGATACCTACCAAGATGGCGAAGTTCCCAGAAATGTGATGTCACACGAGAACAATATACATAAGAGTTGGTTGTTTTCATAAACTGTAAAGGCACAGCTAACCATCAGGTCTCGCATACGCCTCTCTAAATCCATGCATCATGACTAAGTCTTTAGTCTACGTTTATTTGTCTCACAGAAACAATTTTATCTAAGTGGCATTATGCCTCTTCCTAATATTTACATTCCATTTTTATGGAATGTAGTCTGTGGTTAGTTTCATTTAACTTAATATCTGGAGCTATAGGACCTTATCTGGTCATGATGGCTGGTGACATCCTGTTAGCTACTATTCCTGAAACTCCAGCAGCTAAAACACAATAGATTTATTTCACCTTCTGGTGCACTTTGGTGCTATTTGTCATGGTTCCGTTTCCACAGTCTGGTTTGACCACTATGCAGCATGAGTCAGGCACCGTTTGTCCATCGCTGCCAAAATACTTCCAGTCGCTGGAGTTCTGCGCGCCACAGCACTTCCACTGCAAATGAGCCAACACAAAACCTTGATAACAGAGGAGCCAGCTGTGACTAACAGACGGCGCAAAGAGTACTAATGTTACACACTGAAGGAGAAACAGGATGCAGAACTGTTATGCAAAGGTGTTGCTGAGCAAAGTAAACAGTGACGAGGACAGTCGATGCTGAACTTACATTCTCCTGGAAATTATCCAAAGTTTCTTTGAGTTCTTTTGAGCCCACCTTGTATTGCGTGACCATATCAGAGAGATTGTTCTCTATTATGTTTTTGACCTGCACGGAAGATGCAAAAGAAAATTAAAACACCCCTCTTGTAGGGAGTTGAAAACATAACAAAGAGTGAAGTGTACACATACCTTGTCTCTGTATATGTATGCAACAACTACTGCAGCAATCTCAGCAATGACGACCAACGAAAGAAAGAAGGAATACTGCAGAACAATTGAGAAAGTGAGGGAGGTAAATATTTACTACATAGTCAAAATATTGGTTCTCCTATCCATATGATTGAGTTTAGATGTTCCAATCACATCTATTAAAAGCAAACACCCGGTTATGCAGGCTGCCTCAACAAACACAGTGAACTCAGTGAATTCTAGTATAATAGGGTCCAGTCATGAAAAGTCCTCACAACTAAATATTCCACAGGGAACTGGTAGTGTCACTGTGACAAAGTGGAAGTGATTGAAAATGTCAGCAACGCAGCTACAAAGTGATGGGCTTAGCAAATACTGAGGCACATAGTTCACAGACTTTCTGAGTCTGCCAGTGATGTCACAAGTGTTCTGCCCTCTGATTGGATGACAGTCAAAGTGAATTTATCACCCTAAAGTTTTGCTGGCAAAGCATTAATATGTATTAATTTATTTTTATTTTACACATCAATGGCTGATGGAGAAGAAGAAATTGATTTTGGCCTAAGGAATAATTAAACATCCATTTTCAATAAGGACTTTTCTGGGATTTGCAAAGAATACAACAAAGAACAGGCCATAAGGAAGGACTTTTTGATTAAAGTGGGACAAAGTTCAGCTCTATCGCAATTATTGAAGTTTTGCTGTGTAAAGCAAGGATAATGAATGTTATCTATGAAGGACTCATCAACTGAATGAGAATTATGTGCTTTATTTACATATGTAACACATATATAACTAAAGCACCAAATCTCTACACTCTCTACAGTAGAAATTTGGAGATTTTCTTAATAAGAAAATAACAATAATAATCAATCTCAAAACCCTATGAATCTATGGAACATATTTGTGATGGCAGACATTTTGAACCATAATGTACATTAGATACCAGTGAAAGATGCATTGCAAACAGTATTCCTGGTTATTACAGGATTAAACCAATGGGAAGTTGTACTTTAAAAGCACTGATAGATCAACAAGAACAAAAATTAAACTAAAAAAATAAATAATTGTGAAAAATAATTATAAGACAGTTTTAAAGAAATAAAAAACAAATTGGGATAAATAGACAAAGCCAATATATTAGTTGTTGATGCCGTTTGTGTCATTATTATACCCATATTTTATTGATTTTAAATAAATTTGCATATACTCTGTTACAGCTTTACTTATAAGTGTAAAGGATGCTGTGGTCAGTGGATTACCGTTGCGACCATGCAGTGGTTCTCTTTCCAGGCTCCACAGCAGCCGAAGAATGCAACGAAGAAAGTCAAAAGACCCACGACGATGAGGATAATGGGGCCTGCAGAGGCGCTGAAGTCCATGATACGAAAGGTTTTGTGAATAGAAACCTGCACAACGACTCCCACGATAATCAGTGCAAGTCCACATAACTGTAAGAGGAACAGATTGGTTTAGTTTTCATGTCAGCTGTATTTTGTTGAAAATTAAACTTTCTGCTTATTGTTTAAATATACACGACAAAATAAAGTGATTAATGACTTTTTAACTGTGATAAAACTCAGGTCTAATCTTTAATGTACCCATCTAGAAATATTTTGATTGTAGCTCTAAAAAGAAGTAAAGTTATTCTTCATTCTAAAGAGATTAGGTGAGATTTGATTACCTTGCACATCTGTTTCACACAGTTATTTTGGACAAACCCATTTTCATTTTATACCTACTAAGAAGTAAATTTATAAGTTATAGAAGGAATCTCAAATTTATATACAAATTCAGAAAAAAACTTTTGTGCATCAGCAAGTGGAGTCAAACTGTGAAACTTAGACAATGTCCAAACAGAAAACCCTTCAAATTATCAAAAAAACAACAAGTAATTATTGTTGGATACAATGTATAATATTATAGTCAACTATTGTTTAGCTGTCTGTTCTTTCACTATGTCAACTAATTTTAATAATTTAGGTTTTACAGTGTGTTAGTGTTTCCTAAATATCCCACCTCAGGGATTAGAAATTGAATTTTATCATCTAAAGCTTTTACACTGCTACTAATTGTGTTCTTGGTTTTCATTCTGGCCGTTCAACTCCTATGAAATACGACAGATTCTCACTCCTGATGACACCAAAAAGTTTAAGAAAATTGTGACAAAATAATCTTGAGTTATGTGTTTTCAAAGCAGATATGAACCAACCCGGGATCAGAAGAAGTGGATTCTTTTAGAACTCCAAATAATTGTGTACAAAAATTCCAAAACCACAGAAGTAAAACCTGCTAAATGTGAACAAAGAAAAAACTGAATTTTCTCAATCTCGATGACTTAACGTTAGGCCAAAACAAGTAAGCTGATGGGAAGTTGCAACATGCTTCAGTTCCTGAATGTGGAAAATGATCAGATGAGACTTTGTCAATCTTCTGGGTGGGGTGATGGTAGCAGTCCGGACCTTTTACAAACAATGTGTGTGTGTGTGCGCACGTCTGCGTGCGTGTGTGTGTAATCTATTTGGCGATGATCAGGTCACACCACACAGCTCTTCAGCAAACAACAGGGAGGTACACTCAGTGAACTGTGAATGTGCTTATCAGAGAAGCATGGTTTAAAAAAAGAATAGGCTTTTCTGGAAATAGAGACTTGGCAAGGTTCTGTTATCTCAGTTGAATTAAAAATAATTTGCTTTTGCAAACTGATACATGGCTGTGATGACATCAAAACAGAAAAACAGCCCAGAAAACAGCAAAGCTGCTTTAATTCTGTTAGAATATTTTATTAAAATGTCAGGAAAACCAACTTTAACTAATTCAAAAATATTTAACCGTATTACTAGTTTTCTACTTTTCTACATCACTGTAAATATTTCTAATACATTTTCCAGAAAACCGATGCCAATTTTAAAATTGACTCACTTGTCATAGAACATCAGTGAGAATAATTGGATTGATAGTTTGAGGACAGGATGAAGAAAACTTGCAGGATGAAGCAAGGGGAATATGTAAACAAGATATTTCTAATTATTCTACATATAATAATATAATCTAATCAGTATTCTTGCATTTGTATTTCTAAGTATTTACTTTTTATTTTACCTTCTTACTCCCAGACATAACTATCACTGTACTGTTTACAACTTTACTGAAGTTTAACAGCAATAATAACCCGCTGATAAACACACTAACAGCAGACTACTACTTGAATGTAGCCAACAACAATAAAAAATATGCCAAACTATCAATGGTAACTAATTTTCATCTTTGACTTTTATGGTTAAAGTCATGATGTATAGCAAGGTTACAAACTTTTTGTGTTTCTATTGTTTTTCTGTCTGTGGAAAGGGAATAATGTCAAAATTATCATCAACTAATAACTTCTGGTTTACATTTTTACTTCTGCAATTGTATAATTTTAACATTTAGACCCTGTTCAAATGTTGGGATTTTGAATATCATATATTTGTTAATAATGCCATTTGTGACTATTACTGTTGTCTGCTCATTAAACAAGTCTCCAGCAATTTCTCACCTTGATATGTATAAAGCAGTAAGTAAAAATATTTTTTTTCACAATCATAGAAAATTGTTGTTTTACAAACTCCTTTTCTCACAAACAGACCACTTTTAATCACTGCACCAATAGTTTCATGCTTACAACATTGAGTCTTGCATAAACTCTTTAGCATGTGAACATCTCCAATCAATGCACATCATCCATTGGTTTCCCTCTAACCCGTGCTAAGAACTGGCTTTAAATGAAAACCTTTTCTAGTTGACAACAGCAATGTAAATATTTGAGCCCGGGTCAATTGGGTGCCTAATAGCCGACACTGGGGAACAAAAAAGGAGTGAAGACAGCAGGTGAATTGGGCCAATAATGTCGAACAAATTCTGGAACATATGTAATAAAAAACAGAGCTTAGGCCATAATAATTCAACTATATTTGCCATTTTCTGAGTGGCTAAAACCTTAATATATAAATCTGTTATACATGACACAAAGTAGTGAAATAAAAGCACTGATCCTGAAGAAGAATGGTTAGTCAAACCTAAATTTTATGCTCACTGCACAAAAACTAACAGAAACAAAATACATTAGTTACTGAGTAACAACCAGGAAATTTTCTATGACATGGTAGGTTGAAAAATCAGGCATAACTAGAGGGTTTATTTACACACTCTTACACCTGCATGAATTTTCTAATTCTTAAAGTGGAGAGGAAAGCTAAAGTTCAAACCATAACCACATTGCTTAGTCATTTTGGCTTCCTCATCCGCAAGTTGAAATTGCTGTGAAGTTGCAACCCCAAATAAGGTTTGCACAGTACATCACTAAGTATAGAACAGGGTCCACAAATAAATTAAAACTGAATACATACTGATTTGAAAGACTCATGTGACTCATAAAACTCCCAGACTGCAAACAGGCGATAAGCCGGAAAAGTTTAATCTCATGCAAGATGGCAAAAGTAAACAAGTCCTGTATATGGATGCTGGAAGAACAGAGGTTTGGTTCAATTTTAAGCCTGTTCAAGAAGAGACAAAAAACTGTTTGTCCTGTTTAACTTCCGGCTCCACAGGTAAAGATTTTAAGTTTAAATCTTTGATAACATGAAATTGTGGTATTTTCATGCTGTGAAGCCTGTTAGTGAAGTTTTTAGTCTATTTTCACAGCTAGTCTGCTAACTTTTTAAAGTATCAGGAGAAGGGGAATTTGGTTGTGACTTACCAACGAAATGAAGTTGAAGAAGAAAAGTACATATTTGACAAATTTCATTCCACCTTCCACAGCCATGGCAGATGATGAGCAGGATCCTTTAACAGAAAGGAATCAAATCAAATCAAATTTTATTTGTATAGCACATTTCAGCAGCAAGGCATTTCAGAGTGCTTTACATCATAACAAACACAAAAACACAAAGTCATTCAATATAGAATCAACAATCAAAACATGACATTAAGCCAAGTTCCATCCTTAAATTTGTAATTGATTACGTTTCAAATACAACTCTAAACAGGTGGGTTTTTAGTCGAGATTTAAAGGAAGTCAGTGTTTCAGCTGTTTTACAGTTTTCTGGAAGTTTGTTCCAAATTTGTGTTGCATAGAGGCTGAATGCTGCTTCTCCTCGTTTGGTTCTGGTTCTGGGGATGCAGACCAGAACCAGAAGACCTGAGGGGTCTGCAAGGTTGATGCAACAACAGCAGATCTTTAATGTATTGTGGTGCGAAACCGTTCAGTGATTTATAAACTAACAACAGTATTTTAAAGTCTATTCTTTGAGCTACAGGGAGCCAGTGGACGGACTTTAAGACTGGTGTTATAAGCCAAATTAGAGATAAAATAAGGGATATAAGAAGGATTATGTAAGATGTAATTAAGAAAGTGGAAGACCTGACTCATTTTTAAGAGGAAGCGTTAGAGTACCGACAAGTAAAAAAGCCCCTTGGTTGAGCTACTGACACATCACGACGTCTAAAAAAAGCAAAGAAAAGTTTCCAAAAAGTTCATCTGACTTATTTAAACTTTTCTTTTTATATTGGGTATCCCAGAAAGGACAGAGCAGCCGTAAAAGTCGTGAAAAGAAAAGTGTGCAATGTAAAGAAAACACGACAAACACGCAAAACAAAGTGACACATTTTAGTTTGCTAAACTAAAATGCTTCAAAGTTTGCCCTTTAAAGTCGCTTGTAACCGTGTAGCTTCGTCACGACCCGTTAATTTACTGCCGACAGCAAGTCCAGCTTTGTCATCATCTGACCAAATTACAGCAAATAAACATCCATTAAATCACTCGGGGATAGTGTGAATTAATTAAACAGACATAAACACGCGCAGTTACCCCTTTTACTTTAGTTTTAATCAAAACCAGTTCATCACTACACACTTTGAAACCGTTAAACGGTCCAAAACGAGCGGAAACACCCGAAAGGAAGATGGCGAGGCAAAGGTATAATTTAATATTTCGGGATGTGTTTTTACTTACCGTTGGGAGAAAATTAATTTGAGTCCTTTTAGGGTGGAAAAGCGGGGGTGTGTCGAAGCTTTGGACCAAGTTTGTGAGCTCGCACTGCTGCTCCGTCCCCTGCTTTCTATTCACAGCAACCTCCCCTCCTTATGCTGCCTTCAGGGACCCTCTGTTAATTACATCACTCTACCTTTGAACCTGGGTTTGTGGGTGGAGAAAGAAATTTAGTTAAGTTATAGTTTGTTTTGAGAAAAAAAATACAATACATTTTTAATAATTGGAAGTATAAGTTAGATGTATTTTTAGAGGGTGGGGTTTATGTGTTATGGTATATCATATGGAAAAGTTAACATTTATGAAGTATCTTCGTATTTCATTATTTCTACATAGTTATGTAAATATTAACAGTTTGCCTTATTACTGATTAATCTAATTTACAATAATAAAATAGTATAATTATGTCTCATAATTGTTTTGTTTGTTTATCTCATACAAGTTAGTAACATACAAATTTGACTTTGCTATTTTATTGTGATGATATATTTAAGAGTTTAATGCTACTTTTCTTGTGTTTAAACTGAGGTCTGCTATTACTCATTCTGATAATGACTGAGTTGGTTCGCATTCACTGTTACGTTTTGCAATAGATGTGAAACAGCTATTGCAAAATGTAAAGTGTTTAAGCATATCCAGACAATTACCTTCTTTAATAAAAGTAATGCTTCTTAAAAATATGTGTTGAAATTGTTTAAATGGATATTTTCTTCATTTTCTGCAGTGCCTCTAATTACAATAAAAATATAGTCTAAAAGACATTATGTTTTCCAATGGGTTTCCTGTGATAAAATTATTCTTACAGATAGTAGAGCAATCCTTTTTTAGCTTTAGTTATCAGACGTTTTTATGTAAATAATAAAAATGTGTATGCAGTTTAAATGTTTAATCATTTCTTTCAGTGTTGCTTTGAATTTAGTTTAATCAAAATTAAAAAAAGAATAGAAGTAGTATTCTACTATATGGTAGATACTCAGGTAACTCCTCTTCAAAAATCCCTGCCTTTAAGTCACTTTATATACATTACAGAAATTGTTAATTGCAATAAAAGTCTGTTAATAGCATCTAAGCACAGTAGTTAACTGAAATCCATCTTATGTAATATGCTGCTAGTGTCCCATGTCCCATGAGTGCTGCTGGACTGTTGAATATTGTAAATGTTTTAAATTTAAACATACTTAAAATTATATTTAATACACATTCCTCTATGTTCTAAGAATCCTCTGGTCATATTGCATACTATGTGCAACAATAGCAAAATCGTAAAACTCTTTAAACATTTCCTCTTTGACCTACTGAGCACAGATAAGTCAGTTGAATCACTCACCTCCTTGTGAAATAAACCCCATGAATTGAAATTAGCATGACCACCCAGTCTTGCTTCAGTCAGTAAGCTGCAACTTGAAGATTCATCTAAGACTTTGCGAAATACATTTGATAAAAGTCAAATTTTAAAATGAATGTCAGAAAATTATTTTGAGGGTGAACACTTTTTTATAAATGTTTACTTTCTTTAAAATAACTCTGGAAACCTGTTTGCTGTCTGAATTACAACGATTTATCTGTCATGGGAGCTTATCACCAGCTGTCACCAAATACACGTTTACTTTGCAATAAAGTATTTAAAAAAACAAACAGTTGAGTCATGTGTGAGCAGCTCATGGTGGATTGTGAACAAAAGTTTTAGGGCCTACAATGAAAAACGTAGATATTTTAATTTATGATCATAAACTGTTTGCAGTAGATAAAGGGTTCCTAGGGTTGATGTACTTAAATGATGATAATTTTCACTTTTACTCAGAAGTATCTGTCTTTTACTGTGCAGTAAACAGTAAAAACCTGCAATGAACAAAGAGTTATGTGAGAGTCGACTCTGTTTGCAGTCTCTGGAGCTCAGATGTTGGGTGGAGTTCAACACTCCAGCAAACAATCATTCAAGCAATATTATTGGTGGGTGTTGATCCTGACATCGTCTCTAAAGCGCACAGAGAAGATTCAGATGCAGCTGCCGAGTTTTTCTGGGCTTGTCTGTGTATGTGGAAAGACGGTTCAGTTAATAATTCATGCACGATTAGCTGAAGCTAAAACAGCTTCAGAACTGTTGCACCACTAGAGCAATGACACCACAACTTAACTGCAGAATCATGTGGTTCCTCTACTATCTTAGCAAATCGCTAGTTTAATCAAGATGCTCTAAAATTACCATACTGCTTTCAAAGTTTCTATCTTAATTTGTTGTTGTTAAATGTTTTAATGTAAAAACATCATCAGGCATACACTGATGCAGGATTTGCTCATTTCTGACTGAAACATTTGTTGTTGTTTACTCGGATGCAGGCAATGCAGGCAGATTGGGTATTCTGTGTATGCACAGTGACTCAGCAGGTTAAAACTCAGTGCATATTTTAAAACACGGAGAAAAATGCTAAATGTTGCCTAATGGAGTTGCTGTAAAAATTGATATTGCAGAAAAAATGACTCAAAAAGCCAAAAAGAAAACTGTATTACTAAAAATAAGAAGTTTTTAGATTATTTCATCAGGTTTTGTGTTGCCTAGTGAACCGTCACTGTTGTTTCTCCATCTGTCCACCAGAGGAAGCTAAGTGTTAGACAGACAGACAGACAGACAGACAGACAGACAGATAGATTGATAGATAATTGAAAAAGGCCAAATTATTGGTAATATTTTCCTTCAATATTTTTCTAAAACTGTAAATAAACTCAACATGTTTGTTTTGTTAAATGTCATGAGGTAATTTCTATTGTGGATTATGGGTTACATAAATAACTTGAATTGTAAACTAGTTTAACAGATTAAAAAGGTTCTTAATTATCAAGAGAACCAAACTATTTTTAACATTTACGTCTTTAAAAAACAAACTTTTTCTAGTGAGAACGGAGACTTTTGGCATAGGATAAATAAACATGTTACAAAGTTAATAAAGCCTGTATAATGTAGCTCCGGAGACTTTTTCCTGGATATTGGGATGTAATGTGACTTTTCACACAGTAGGAGTTTAACTGCAGATTATGGATTCCTGCAGGACAATCTGTTTACCTTACAAAAGTGAACTGAAGCAATAAATCTTGGGATAATAATGTAAAGTTTGGGGCTTTGGTTTGGTGTATTTTAAATTGTTAGTGGATTTATGTTCTGTGTTTGATATTATCTTTGACTTTAATAAAAAATAACACTCCTATTCTTTGTATTTTATCTCAGTTATCGGTACAAGCCAGGCTTCTGACATATCTCCTTTATAATTGCATTGCTTAAAAAAATGCAAGAAGAGAAATTAAAAAAAACTCAAACGTGTACAGAGTAATGATATTTAGCAACTGCTGTGACTCAGACGCAAAGTATAATGTTTTGGAAACTCCTCATTTAGCTTAATCATCAGTTTGAAAACCCAAATTGACATATTTGCAGCCTGTCTTTGCAGTTTTTTGTGAATGTGGGTTGTTTTGACATCTTCTCCTCATCTTTAACAGAACCAGCTAATTTCAAAAAGAAATGGGGGTTCATCACCCAGTGTCCAATTTTACTAATTTATTCCAATAACAAGTCATGGATTATGCTTAACTTATTCATAGTTAAGCATACCTAATGTAACAAATTTACATTAGGTCATGACACCTCTGTCACAACTTAAACATGCCTAATATGTTTAAAGTGATATATTTTTTTACATATCAATCAATCAGTCATTTGTAACATTTCTCGTACTTTGTGAACACTGAATCAATTATAATATTGAGATTTTGGACCTGCTCTAAAGGTTTAGTTGCCAGTCTTTGATGTTTGTTTGCCAGTTTCCAAATATTTTTTCTGAATTCTGAATCTATTTCAGTAATTTGATTAAAATGGAAAAAATATTTTCACATAGATTTATTACACAATAGATTTCATACATTTATTCTCTTAATTGTAATGATCTTGGCGTCTTGTTACTGAAAACCCAAAATTCAGCTTCATAGAAAATCTTTAAAAATGTTCAGTATTTGGTCTTTTGCATGGTTTGCTGGAGGAGATCAGCCTGTGGCACCGAGAAAAAAAGAGGAAGATTACTTTGAAAGTGGCCTTCAGCTCTTCTGCATTGGTGGCTTTGCTTGTGCAACTTTTTCTACCACATAAACAGTCAACTTCTTAAGCAATGTCATATTCCTTCTTTGGGTGTGTCTGTGACTCTTTTTTTTTTACTTAGAAATTACATTTTAGGTTTGATTTGGTGTACATAATCTTCGAAATTAAGTGAAACAAACATATATATGACTATAAATAATATGCATTTGTCTTTGTCTGTTCAATTAATGAAAAAAAGAAGCTTTTCTTATTTATTTTGCATCATTATACAAAATTGGTCACGTCAGATAAAAATGGGCAAAAAATAATTCTGTATTGTGTAAAACCTGCAACATACTGAATTATTAATCTCAGCTGCTTCAGTATTTATATCAACTGTTACTGTATCTGTGACAGCTCTTACGTTCACAGCAAGTAATTACTTCCAGGTAATATTCAACAGACATTCAAAAACCTTTTTCCCTTTTGGAAACAGGAGGCCTTGAAGTAAATTCAAACTGGAAGGCTCTCTCGATTCACCTGCATCATCCAATAGGTGCGACCCATTCATCGCCGTTGACCTATCAACGCCAGACCAAGTTACGTCACGGCCAATCACCGACCAAGCTCCCGCTAAAAAGGATTTCCATACATGGCATCTTCCGCTTTCCAGCTGCGCTGAACCCACCTCCATAGTTCTGGCTTCTTATGAATTATGAATTAACAAGGTATTTTCATTAAACAAACAAACAAATAAAAACTACGTTTGTCATTCAAAGACAGAAAAAAACTTTTGACTCATTCACCTTAATTTGATGTTGTTTACAACGGAATTTTAGGCATTTCTACAGTTTAAACTTGACTATAAATGTTTATATATCTGTTTCAGTAGTACATATTCTCCTAATAATCTCGCAAAGAAAGGAAAACATCCGAAACAGAAACATCAACCCCTGATGATGACGTCATCCTGTCTTGTTTTCTGATTGGCTGTCCCGCCCGTAGCTCATCGAACGGTTGCTAGGCGGAGGAGGCAGGAAGAGAC